AAAGAAAAGAAAAGAAAAGAAAAGAAAAGAAAAGAAAAGAAAAGAAAGGAAAAGAAAAGAAAAGAAAAGAAAAAAGAGAAAACAAAACAAAAGAAAAGAAAAGAAAAGAAAAGGTAAAGACCGGTGATTGCACAATTCTTCAAAATCCCCCATCAAATATTCAAAAGAAAAATTATTACAAAATTACATACGGCAACGCTGCGACTTTATTTACATGCGCGACGTAAACAATCCAGTGTCTATTGCCCAGCTGGAAATGTTGGAGTTTCTGAAACACCTCTTTAGGCTACAATTTTTGCTTATTGTAGCCGCCGTGCTCACTGGTGTTTATTACAATCAACTTATAAACTGGATCACGAATAAAGCTGGAGATCCAGCCAGTGAAAGCTTGGCAGTTTCTTACGAAAATTCTCAAGCACTATCTTCCGGTGAGCAACTCTTCACACGTGATGAATTGGCAAAATTTAATGGCGAAAATGGCACACCTATATACCTGGCCATAATTGGCACTGTTTTCGACGTGTCTAAAGGTATTAAGCATTACGGACCAGGCTGTTCGTATAACTTTTTTGCCGGACGGGACGCTTCGGTGTCATTCATAAATGGCGAATTCGAAAGCTATGACGTGGGGAAAGCCGATGACGTGATCTCATTAAAGTCCAACGATTTACTCAGCTTGGAAAATTGGCAACAATTTTATAGAAAAGAATACAAATACAAAGGTAAACTCATAGGACGATTCTATGATGAAAAAGGCGAACCGACCCATTACCACTGGAAATACTTGGCACTTTTGGAGCAAGCGAAAACAGCCAAAGCACAAGCAGAACAATTACGTGAAGTATATCCAGATTGCAACATTGAATGGTCAGAGGAGCGAGGCACGCGAGTGTGGTGTACAAAGTCGAGTGGCGGTAAGCAACGTGAATGGGTGGGATACCCACGTAAACTTTTTGAAGTCGGTGCTAGCAACTTCCGTTGTGCTTGCATACAAGAAAAGGACTTGGACACAACTGACGTTATGTTAAAGCAGTATGATGATTGTGGACTGCGTGCCTACGAGTGTTACTACAAAGTAGATTAATTAAATAACTGCATTATTTTACATGGCATAGGAACAAAAAGGATTAATGGTAAAAAGTATTTATGCAAATTTTTTAAAAACCAGACTCGTATTATGGAGTGTACTTAAATTAGATTTACACGATTTAAAGTATTTATATTAACATATCCAAGAATATAGAGGCCTTAGTATTCAAGTTTTGTACGAATAAAAATCCTTTATAACAAAAATTTTAACATTTTAGCATAGTAACTAATATTTATAAAAAAATCGACGACCGAATATAGTGTGAACTTTGGTGTACAACTAAGTTTTAGTTGCTTGGTCAAGTTGGTCAGCTAGTCAAGATAAGAAGACAACAACAACAACAGTTTTAATATGTATGGATATTATAAAATTTAACCGCATTCATGATTTGGAATAATTTATTTCAAATGTAATGATATGTTAAGTATTGAGCCTAATTCAATAACAAATACGTAAACTAAAATTGGATTTACAAGTGATTCACTTGGTAAAACTTTTACTGGTTTATTTATTTCGGTCCCTTAATTATTTTATTTCATTCATAGTATTGGGATCAATACGTTTGAAACACATTTTTCGTTGTTTTCGATTTTCTTCCCATTCCTTAGGATGTTTTCGTTTGCGATGATGGTGCAAATTGGAGTTCACTCTAAAAGTACGCGGACAATGTGGACATTGATAAAGATCCTCGCCGGTATGTGTCGTCATATGTTCCTAAATGATCAAAATGAAAATATAAATTGTATACTATTTATGCAGTTACTTTTTTTTAATACCTTCAGCGCGTGAGGTTGCTTGAATGCTTTCTCACAAATTGTACATTTATGTACGCGTTCGCGCAGATGTACGTACTTTTGATGTCTCTTAAGTGCATCCTCAGTGAAGGCGACCTTGCCACAATCGCCGCAAACATATTCTTCAGATCCATCATGATGAGCTGCACGCTTGTGTCGCTTCAAACTGTAATTAGAATATAGTTGAAGATCGCACTGATCACAGGGCCAACGTCGTTTACTTCCGCCCTCATGCTCCAACATGTGAATTTTTATAGCAGAGCGACCACGAAAGGATTTACCACACTGATCACAAACACTTTGATATGATGTGCTGTGGACATTGCGAATATGAATATTAAGACGGGACTCTAACACAAAGCTGTATTTAAGAGAACGGAATAATTAACAATGATTATGAATAACATATAAAAAGTATTCATATATTGAAATCTAACATTACCCCTTCCCACAATCCTTGCAAATATGATCGGGATTGCCCTCTGCATGAGTTTCCATATGTGATTTCAAAATAGCTCGCTTAGCGTATTTTTTATGACAAGTTTCACATTCAAACCGCCGTTCTAATGGCTTTTCTATATGCACTGTTTTCATGTGCTTCACCAAAGTTCTATTGCTAAAGCAAAGTGTATCACATTTAGAACACTGGTACTCCTTTGGATTCAAATGTACTTGCAAATGGTCAACGAAGTGACATCGTTCAGAATACTTACGACCACAACATAAAACATAGCCTTTATCGGTATTGTGAACTTCGCGAAAATGTGCATTCAATGCAGTGAAGTCAGCGGATAAGTTACCGCACAATTCACAAGGCAATTCCTCTTTGTAATGTTTGGCTATAAATGCATCGTTTGCTTTATGTTTACTGGAAGTAACCATTTTATTTATCTTTTTTACCCTCCTTCCCTTCTTCTTGATATCACGTTTCTGTTTCCCCAATTCTTTTCTCTTCGACAATGGCATATCATCATAGGCGCTATCACTATTATATTTTTCATCATCCTGTGTGTTTAATTTCTTTGAATAGTCCTCAGCTTTGGTTTCGCAAATAGCTACAGGGTCTTCTGTAGCATCCTCAATCAAGCTACCGTTGTCATATATATCTTCGGCAAATGAACCAGCGAATGTATATACGTTGTCGACATCCATTTCCACTTCCAACTTCACGCTTTCCACCAAGCCTAATTGGGAAGAGTTTTCGAATTGTTTAAATCCCTCTTTCTGTAGGACCACTAGCTGCTCCCGCCATTTGTGGAAAGCCTCTAAATGGTGCCAACAACTGGCACATATTACGTGCGAGTTAAAATTTGGTATATCTACAAACTTCTGCTTATCACATTCTTCTTTAACTCCTGACAACAACTGAAATGAATTACAGATATGAAATAAAGCTCCATGCCCAAAGAAATTGTTATTTTGAGGTTTACCTCCTTATCCAAATATCTCAGTGCTATATTGTAAACCAGAGTGTGGTGGCCACTGGAATCTAAAAGTTGCTCAGAGAACTGATCACAAACCCCAAAACACAAGCGGCACAACATCCTTTTTTGTGTCGCCTCGTCAATTGTTTACAAAATAGGCATGGACGATGTACATAAACAAATCTGTCGATAAAAGCATTGATGTTCTCCGATATATTTTCAATTCTTTCGATATGTTCAATGAATCGATGGCTTTGTGCACGATGCGTTGGATAAACCATGCGATAAACCCCTTTTTAAAGGTTAGCCGAGTAGAAACTTCTACTTTAGCTTTGTATGTATGTACTTGTATTTATAGAACTTGAATGAACATCATATAAACATTATACGGCTTTCCCACACCACCCCAATTACGTAGTTCGCTCTCATTCGTAATTCGCACTCCAATTACCCTTCGAATTACGTAATTCGGCAGACAAAATTTTAAGAGCGAGTTACCTCATTTGTTGGTAATTCAGATCCAATTACCATGCGAATTCGAACAAATCGGTGCCGTTTCTAATTTTTATTGGAAATTTATCGAAACTAGATCACATATCAAAACTTGCATTTTTCTGAGTAGGAAACGTAAAGTTTATAAATGAAAATATCCCTAATTTAATATGGAAACTTATAAATTTTTAGGAAGAACCCACATTTTACCTCAGGCTGCGTTTCTTTATACATTCCAGATTATCCCATTCCACAGTCAGAATAAACAGAATGCGTTTGAAACATACGTTAACATATCATCAGGAACGTTCTAAAGAATAAGTAAACAAAAAAGTTTATTCCAAACGTTCAGAATGACCAATTTTGCAGCGAAGAAAACAAAAACAAAAAAACGGAGACAGAGAACTGTCAAATCGAAATAAGAGTGTTTCCGTACGAAAAGGTAATTCGCGATCGTACCTAATTGGGAGAGCGAACAAAGTAATTCAGGATTGCGGTGGAAAATGGTATTACGCGGAGATTAAGGGCCGGTTGTTCAATGTCTGGTTATCACTACTTGCCGGTTAAACATCACTATCGACGTTTTCGACATCATGCATATAACATGTGATCGATAAACCAGTCGTTGTATTTAACCGGAGCTTCTACCTCCAATTAGTACTAATCAGACATTGAACAACAGTGACGTGAACATGTCACCAAGCGATGATTTGTTGAATAATTTTTTTGTCCATCCCTACCAAAATTGAATTACATACTTAGCCTAGGTTCACACAGAGAAAATTTTGTTGCCCATTTTCGGCAATTTCTCTTTAAGCCTGATATAAAGTTCAATGCGAGCGTGAGCGTGAGTTTTTTATTTTAACTAATATCTTCGTTATTACTCAACTTTTTGCTATAGTTGTGACATGAAAAGATAGAGAATTAAAATATCTTTCAAAATTATAGAATAAAAACTAATTTAAAATGCATAATATGCCTTTTTTTCGAGCTCACACTTAACTGTGTGTGTACGCAAAGCATTCGCATGTGAACGACAAGTTTTTACAGATGTGTGTGAGCGTCCATAAGAATACAAATGGAATTATTTGCCTTTGCGAACGTTCACGCTCACGCTCGCATTGAACTGTATATCAAGCATTAGGTGTTGCCCTTCGCGTTCACACAGAGCAATTCCTTTGTACACAAATGTTGTTGTCAGCTGTGTACGCCAACTAGAATTACTCAGACGAACAAGATCACAAAGCGTGTTGCCTGAGCACGAGCAACTTGGTGTCCTTCCCCCTTCCTCGTCACTCCCTCTCCCACAAGTAACGAGTTGCCGCGACAAAAGTTTCTCCGTCTGAATCTAGACATACGTGCTTGATGATAAAGGTATTCTTCTTTCTTTTTAACCTACTTCACAAAAAGAAGGTTATCAATTCGTCAGAATATTTTTTTTTTTAATGTATGATACCGCATAACTTTGGCCCACGTTAACTGGTTTCGATAATTATTTTTGCATCGGAAAGGTGGTACCTTAAGGGTGGTCTCATACAAATTTTGTTTAGATCCCATAACAGGATAACTATGATCTTAAACTTTTATATGAGAATTGAAGTCGGTTTAGTTTTTTGTTTAAAAATTTATGGAAATTAAACCAAACTGAAAACAGTCAACCTTGACTTTGCTACATCTATTTGTATGAATTAGGGAGTCCATGTCCATTGAATTAATAAAGATTAGGTATTCCATTATACTGGAATTAATTGGATAGTTTTAGATGACGTAACAGCATAGAAATGCCCCAGAGCTTTTGGGTAGTCAAGCTGGAGTGAGTCCTTGGTCATATATAAATCTGGGTCGTTCCGGTTACGTTTAGACCCGACTGTCGTGGTAACGGGTTTTTTTAGTAAGTTTTAGTGCTTTCTGAATGCATGAGTCAAAAAGCGCTTGGTTATTGTTGTAAAAATTCGCCCAAGAGTCGTAGGACCATTTTGTTCGTTTTCTCGTGGAGCGTGGCGTGGGCTAGTTTTAAATATTTCCATCGTCAATGCAGTTTGGTCGGCGTATTTTCTGTTTACCCGCTTTTGTGTGTAGGGGCAAAGCCTCGTCTCTAAGCATTAAAGTGTATGCTTTCCTGGACAGTTGAATTTAAAAGGATTTTGATTTCCCAAAAAGAAGACATGGTTCGTTCAAATGATGGTTATCAGGTCGCCGCAAGCATATATCTGTGGTCAAAGCAATAACCGCCTAAGTCGACTTAAGAAAGAATGGAGTTATATATGCTATCGTATTCTTCAACTCCTATTCCATGCGTACGGGAAATCCCCATCTCGCCAGCTAGGCTATTTAAAAAGTTATAGGCGAAAATATTTTGGTTTCCCCATATGGTTAACATTACAATCCAAATCTTTAAAACGTTTTTTCTCGAATTAAGGTTTTTCGACTTAGGCGATTATTGCTTATGACCCCAGATACATAAGTATTCATACTTGAAAATTAAAATCAAACTCTTTTTTCGGCTTTCTTTTTTTTAATTTTCTATTCTCAAAAATATGTATTTAGCAAATCCAGCAGATACGGGTAATGTTAACTTATATATGATTTATGGGTACCTCTCATCACGAGCAATATGAAACATTATATACATTTATTTGCCTTTTACTTACAACACCACTTCATTCGATATGTTGTTAAGGTCAACACGTTTGAAAGACATTTGTCTCTGTCTTCGATTTTCCTCCCATTCCTTGGGGTGTTTTCGTTTGCGATGATGGTGCATATTTGCATTCACTTTGAATGTTCGCGGGCAATGTGGACACTGATACAGATCCTCGCCGGTATGTGTTGTCATATGCTCCTAAATAAACAAAAAATTATATAAGAAAATTGTTGCAATTTCTTCTCGTTAAAACTTTACTTACCCTTAAAACTTTCGAAGCCTTGAACGCTTTGTCACATAGCGTGCATTTGTGAATACGCTGCCTCTGGTGCACATATCGCTTATGTGACTTTAGCGCTTCTTCAGTCAGTGCTACCTTACCACATTCGCCACAAACATATACTGTAGATCCGTCATGATGAGCTATTCGCTTATGTCGCTTTAAACTGAATTTGGAATGTAATTGGGTATCGCATTGGTCACAGGGCCACAGTTTTTTTCCACCGCCATCATGTTCCAACATATGATATTTTAACGCATAACGCCCACGGAAGGATTTGCCACACTGATCACACACACTTTGATATGCTAGGCTGTGGACATTGCGAATGTGAATATTGAGGCGGCTCTCCAAGACAAAGCTATATTACAATTAATGGAAAGTTTAAGCAAAGCAAAAAAAAAATATAAATATTAATATGGTAATATTAATAACTATCTAAGTAATTGGATTACCCCTTCCCGCATTCCTTGCAGACATGATCTGGATTGCCCTCCACATGCGTTTCCATATGAGTTTTTAAAATGGGAAGCTTGGTGAATTTTTTATGACAAATTTCACACTCAAAACGACGTTCAGATGCCTCAGGATCATGCATAGATTTCATATGCGCTACTAAGCTCCTAGCATTGGCACTACATTTGCCGCATTCAGTACACTGAAACTTTTGTGGATTCAAATGTACTTGCAAGTGTTCAACAAAGTGAAATCTTTGACTATACTTGTGCCTGCAACAGACTACATAACCCTTATTATTTTGGTGTACATCGCGGAAGTGTATATGCAGTTCAGTGAAGTCTGCGGATAAATGCCCACAGAGTTCACAAGGCAGTTGCTCTTTAAAATGTTGGGCTATAAAGGCATCAAATTCTTTTGTTTTTATACTTTTTTCCCTAGCTCTATCAGAAGTGTTCAAATCATCTTTGTCTTCATCAATATAAGAATCCAGATTAAATTCAGCATCCGAAGAATTCTTGCCCACTTGTTTTGCCTTTTTACTCTTCCTTGTATTTTTAAAGGCATCAGAGCCTTTGCTTTTTCTCATTTTTTTACCTGTCACTAACGGCTTATCTTCGTCAATAAGATCATCGTTTGCTTTCTCTTTCCTGGCAACGGCTTTTTTGCTTTTTGCAAGCTTTTTTCTACTCAACAATGGCATATCATCATAGATGCTATCGTTATCACATTTTTCATCATTTATTTGATCTACTGAGTTTAATTTCTTTGGCGAGTCTGAAAGTTTGGTTTCGCATATTGCAACAGGATCTTCAGTAAACTCTTGTAGACTGTCGTCGTTATCACATACGTGGTCGGCAAATGAATCTGCAAATATATCTACGTTGGGGACATCCATTTCCATTTCCAACTTCACACTTTCCACCAAATCCCTTTGGTAAGGTTGCTTAAGCTGCTTTAGGCGCTCTTCGTGCAGGACCACCATCTCTTCATGCCATTTGTGGAAATCATCTATATGACCCCAGCAACTGGTGCACATTACGTGCGACTCTTTCGTATCTGCATGGTGTTCCGCAATAAATTCTTCTTTAATTTCTAGCATTATCTAGAATTAAAGCATATAATAAGTGATATTCCGAGGGGAAGTCGAGCATATAACTTACCTCCTTTTCGAAATACCTCGCTACAACATTATAAATTGGAGTGCTTTGACCTCCGGAGTCCAAAAGTTCTACAGGAGATTGGTCGCATTCACTAACGCACAAGCGACATAACATCATGCTATTAAAAAACAAACTTCTAACAAATTTTCTTAAAATTTAGTTGTTTATAGAAGTTTTAGAGATGCGTGATGTTAACCGATGCATCGGAAACGTCGATGTTTTCAATTCGATGCACTGACTAAATTCCGATGTATCGATATTATTCCATTTATCGAAATCGAGAACTTGCAAGCAGGGCTGCCAGTGCCAAAAAAATACTTACCATCCACTTGCAGAAAATCTACCAAATTTAGAAAATATCTACCAATTGTTTTAGTTATTTTAATAAAAACTGTAGTTTTATTCTAGTTTTTTAGTTATTTCAATATAAATAAAAATAGGTTTTAAAGAAATTTTTATTTAAATAATAATATGGTGTTTGAGATTATATTAATGGCTTCTTCTCGGCTTTCCTCAACCAAAAGCGAAAGTGATGAAACTAAAGGAAACAACGAAAAGCTTCAAATGGAGTTATTATGGACAAATACAGTACTCAAAAATCGCTTGGTGATTTTGTAATATTAACATGTTTTTTAAGAAAAAATTTGTTGGTATTTTTATTTTTTTTTGTATAAGAATATTGTTTGCACTTTAACTAAATCCATTCAGAATCAAGGATTCAAGCGATAACCAACAATAAGAAAAATTAAAAAAAAATTCGTCTAAATTTCGAACTTCTTACTCTGAATTTTTAGATAAATTTAAGGTATGGAGTTTTATACCCCTTGCAATTCTAGTATAATCAACAATGTATAGCAAAAAATTCCATTGCCGTTTTGCCGTTTTATTTACATTTAACAATTTCCATTGTTAAAAAATGGGGCTGACTTTTAAATTATTTTTGTTAACAATCGTAGTGTGTAATTACATACCAGTTCATTTTTTTTATTTAAAGAATCATTAAAACAATATTTAGGCTATTAAAAGCACCTCAGCATTCAAGTAAAATGAGCTTTAAGTGGAGCACGATACGTTCGCTTTTTATCGATGTACATTTCTATGTGCATTTGTATATAAAAAGTGTACATTAAAGCGTTCGAAAATTAACTCAATAAATATACTTATTTTCTGGAAAGAAATTTATAATATAAAGATAACTAGAAAAATAAAGCGGGCTCTAACAGTTTTAATTGTTTCTCAAAAAAAATACTTCAACAAAAATCTACCAATATGAGAAAAAAATTTACCTTTTTACCACTCCAAATTTTTTCTAACAATTTTGGTAACAATTTACCGAAGTGGCAACCCTCCTTACAAGAGATACACACGGTGCAGCGACGCAACGTGGGATCCCTCGGTTGCCCAAAATAGCCCAGAAATCATTCCCGTACTCAACAAAATGGGTAACAGAGAGCCATGATTCAATAATACAAGGTTCGATAAACTGACAGTTGTCTCTCTCGCACCGCTCCCTTAGCAGTGGCACCGTGTTGCTTCTTTGCAAATTTACATGGAAACAGTGTAGCTTTGGTGTGAAATAAAAGTATAAGCTTTTATGCAATGGCTGCGTTTCTTTATACATTCCGGATAATCCCATTTCACAGCCGGAATAAACAGAATGCGTTTGAAATATACGTCACCATATCAACAGGAACGTTCTAAAGAATAAATAAACAAAAAAGCTTATTCCAAACGTTCAGAATGAATAAAGAAATGCAGCCAATATGTTTATTTGTAACTATATGCATATGAAGCATATTTAACTGATGAAAACCTAAGCATTGGATGTTTACATCAATCTCATAGTAGTCTTATTTTAATTTTGAGTCATTTTGCAGTTTTTATACGTCTAAATAGCATATAAATTACGTAATTCACGTAGATATATCAATATTACGTTCAACATTTCGTTTAAAATGCCAGATTTCCTGCAAATACATTAGAATTTACGAAAGGAATTTCAGTACTAATTGCCTACTTTGCGTACTTTTCTACTACCATTTTCGAAACAAGGGATTGCATTCTTGCCCTTTCTCTGTCCTTCGTAAATGCAACCTTTTGTAAGGGAGTGTCAAACCGCAGCTGTCAATAATTATCTAACCTTGTATTATTGAATCATGATAGAGAGCGTAAATTGGATCGTGTCTTCTTCTTCCTGCCCGAAACAGCCGGACTTTTTCTCCGGGTAAAAATGGATAAAGTGTCAAAGTGCATATCAGGTGTTTTGTGTTTACATGTTGCCTGCATATACTTGGTGCTTTTGAGGAACAGTGAATGTATTTTCGATCTGTATATGCTTAAAATCAAATTTGTGAAACAAAAATTCAAACTCCAAGAGTTTGCATTTAAGTGACATAAAATAAACGCGAATCAGCTGTTTCTCAAATTCTGGGCACAAAATGTGGATTTTACGTTCCCGTACTTCTGGATTATGTTCCATTTTTGAGAACAAACTTTACCTTTACCAATTACCGGATCCGGTCCGGATTATTAGAGAAAGAACCTAACAATACCAATGAACGTAGATAACAAGAAGGGATAACTCGTTATAATTGTGGCGAAAGTGCGCAACAAGGGCGTGCCTTCTCTTTTCATCCAATCAAAAAACGCACTAGGGCCAAAGAACGTAGATAACGTAGATTACACAGGTCAACAACGTTTTGTTCTAGGAAAGTGTAGAATCCGAATCCGGGGTTTAAATTGCTCTATCACGTCAGGATTTTGAGATATCCTAACCTAAAAGTGCAAAAACGCTGTTTTTGCCCATTTTTGAGGTTATATAGCTACGCAGATTTTGCTCTTCATAAAAAAGTAAACGTGGTATTTTAAAGTATAAGTCTTCCTCTTTTAAATGCCGTTGAGTTTGCTTAAATATCTTTTTTTTTCACTGAGATATCGCATTTTGAAGTTTCCATGTTTGTGAATTTTTCGATATTCGAAAATCCATTGAGATAACATGAGACGTGATACGGTCGATTACATTCACAAACATGGAGACTTCAAAATGCGATATCTCAGTGAAAAATTAGGATATTTGAGCAAACTCAACGGCATTTAAAAGAGAAAGACTTATACTTTAAAATACCACGTTTACTTTTTTATGAAGAGCAAAATCTTCGTAGCTACATAACCTCAAAAATGGGCAAAAACAGCGTTTTTTGCACTTTTAGGTTAGGATATCTCAAAGTCCTGACGTGATAGAGCAATTTAAACCCCGGATTCGGATTCTACGCAAAAAATTACTTCGGAAATGACACTACACTTTTATAGAACATTCCGAACCCATTTTTTTGCAGGCCTGTGTTATTTACGTTCTTTGATTTCAATGCGTTGCCCTTCGGCAATTTAAATGAGGTTGCGTTGCTATTCATAATCGGTCCATAATTTTTTTCAGCATATTTTTAGGCGTAGTTCTTTTGACACATAATTCGGGGGTAAGTCTAATGACGACAGGTGTTTAGTTGCTGGTCTAGTAACCAGGCTACAAGAATCCTACTTTGTATTATGTATAGCAATTAATCTCAGACAGAAAAGCGCAAACATTCGAATTAACATTTTTGACGAGCACATTTCGAAGTAGTTGGCAACTTTGCTCTAATCAGTGTTGCCAAGTTTAAATTTGAAAAAGCACTAAAACCCAAGAAAAATCGCGTTTTTTTTCTCGAAAAAAGCACCAAGTTTTTATCGGAGTATTTAACGGACTTTATATGCATAAAAATTTGTTTGTAGGAATGCTGATTTAAATTAATAAAAATCAATCAAAGTTTCTTGCTTGACGGTCGAAGTTTTTCTGTTTTCTATAAATTCAAATATTTTCGTCCAAGCGACGATAACATTCTTGTTCTTATTTTCTAATATGCAGCTGTGTCCAGCGTTGCCGCTTTTATTTATAATTTTTTCCTGACTGTTTATATGTATGTACATTTTTTTCTTCATATAATAATTTTTTCTAAAATTCCTGTCAAACGAAAGCAAAAAATGGAAGTTTTATGAAGTATGTGGTAGTTTAAATTTACACTACAGTCTTTTATTATCGTAAACTAAAGGAATATAAAGAACTTTTCTTTCCGACTGCTTTACATCAGGCAGCCTGAAAAATCGCCTCATGTAAATTCCCTATTACCAAGCAATATAGTTCATTTCGAATCATGTTCACACTATCGTATAACGTATTCACCTGTGAAATAATTTTCACTCGAACATATAAAATCGCAAAACAATTGCTAAAATTTCTGGTGAAATTTTTCACCAAATATTCATGATAAGGCAGTATAGATCCCTTTCCCCTAAGGAACTATAAGAAACCTATTTTCATATTGCACACGACCCTAGCTACAACCTACATTAAGTTTTGTTTCGGGTGTATTTCGTGATTTTTTTTTTTTTTTTTTTTGATGCATCGAGTAATAGGTAAGGGCGCGTTCAGAAATGCATCAAGCCAAAGCATCAGTCTCTTTTATTTCTAAACTATAATTGATGGAAATGTCAAATATGCGCAACCACGGTTAAAAGTCGAACTGGAACTTAGTTGCTCAAATAAAACATTTCCATCAATTATAGTTTAGAAATAAAAGACTCTGATGCTTTGGCTTGATGCATTTCTGAACGCACCATAACTGATGCTAATGGCAGTGAAACCAAAGCACAGTCAATAATAAATAATAATAAGTTTACAAAAGTACAGAAATTTTATTAATTCAATTTTTATTACGTTTCTAGGTCAGAATCAAATTCAGGTAAAAAAGGAAAAAAGGATCGTATAACGAGAACCAAAAGTGTTTGCTTTAGTAAATAATAATTTACCTCTTTAAATTAACTCAGGAATTCAGTTACCAGTGCTTGAAATTTTTCCAAGAAAATATCTTTTCCTTGGCAGTCCTTCATATTTCCAACGAATTTTCGAACTGATTTTACAATCGAATCATCATCATTTAAGGGACGCGCAGAACAACGCATGATATCAAGTAGTAATGAGCTAAAGCTTATAAAAATCTCTTCATAGAGTTGCGGTGGAGCAGATTCAATTATCTTTAGCACTTTAAGCATCAGTTTCTCAATTTTTTTTGTATCATCTTTCAACGGTGGTAGCACAAATTTCAAAACAATATTAGCATAATTTGATAAGCAGTGACGATAGTTATTAACTGCATTGGGATTATCTGTTTCCACAACCACTCCACTTAAAATTATCATTACATCTGAAATATGGGGCATAAGACGTTCACTACGGGCCAGCCATTCAGTCTCTTTCATTGTACAACGCACATAATTCTGTCACAGAAAGATGGTAATTAAAATGGTACATCTGATAAAGCAAATTTAGACTCACAATAATAAGAAACATTTCAGCTTCAGACTTGTCTTCAATTTCCAAGCGTATGAGAAATCGATCAAAATCTACGGGTAGTTGGTCTGGGGTTTGTGAAAATTTTTGGAAATAATACTGCGTAATTGGGCGATATGAATCTTTGATGACTTTGGTTATCCACTTCCGATCTACAAAATAAATTGAAATGAAGCATGATACAAGTGCAGTAAGGCGAAACTATACATAGATCTATCTATACAGGATGTCCTAGACCACCCGTTCACTCCCTCTAATATGGAGGCAATGTTTTTTATTGGCACTTCCGTGGGAGAAAATACATGTGTAATTTAAAAAAATCCGGTCAGTTTAATCCACTTCCGTTCGAAACCGGAAAGAGCTTCCTCGATTTAGTAGGTAGAATTTTTGCGGTTATCAATAAAAACCATTCGAGTCCATTTTAGTAGAGGGGGTGGACGGGAGGTCTAGGACACCCTGTATATAGATTCGCCTTGAAGTGAGGTTTATTAAAATATGTAATTTGGAGCCTTAGAAATACATACAATGGTCGAAAAAAATTATAGCCACACCACATTTTGACAAGTTTGAACATATTTTTGTCTTTTTGTTAATTTTGGTTATTTGTTTATAAAAATATATTCATTCTTCAACAAAACCCATGTAAATCCCAGCTTCAAACTTGGTACTATATAACAAATTAATTAATTAGACATTTTTTAATTGGATTTCTCTTAACGATTCTGAGAATGCAGTTTCGTAGCCCATTGAATTCTTGTAGAATGAAGCACAAGTTTCAAATGGCTCAAAATTACCGTTGATTTTTTAGATTTTTTTTTGTCGAAGATGTTCAGGTTTTCTTCCATATAAAAATAAATTGTGTGTATTCGTTATATGGAAGCAATTGCGACAAAGAAAAATCTAAAAAGTCAACCGCTATTTTTTCCATTTGAAACTTGAACTTTATTTTACTAGAACTCAATGAGCTACGAAACTGCATACTCATAATCATTCTAGGATATCACATTAAAAAAGCTCGAAATTTTTACGAAAGTATGTTAAATTTTTTTATAAAAAAATAACCAAAATTAAATAACAAAAAAATATTGTGTTCAAACTTGTCGAAATGTGGTGTGGCACAAATTTTTCCAATATGTATGTATGTACGTGTAATAATATACCTTTTTCTGTTGCGACCGGCAGAAATCGTTTGGAAGTATATTGTATAAATTGTATGCACTCTCGTACCACCTCGTCTCTTGCATCTGTATATGTGATAAGATCCCAGCGTGTCTTGTCCATAATTTGTGCCGCCATTAAAAGAACTGGCGCCGTCACTTCACCAAATGCTAACTGCTTATTCGGTTGAGTCTCATCGTGCATCGCTATGAGATTCAAAGCCTTGACAATGGGTAACAAATGCCCAAAGCGTTGTGTATCTAACAAATCATTCACATTTTTGTTCATGAATTGCTTCAAGAATTCAGTCTTGCGAGAAGGATGATACAATGTATAATATATTTCGCACAGCAACTCAGGAAAATTTTTCTGTGTTAGTTTTTCGTGATCATGCATGGCACTTTCCAGCAATTCATCAAAGTAAATATTCGAAAAGGGTCGCGATTGCTTTATGGTCGTACAGAAGTTTCGTACATGCTCAGAGTTATGGCAGGCAGAATCAAAGAATTTCGCCCACATTTGTGCAGGGTTCTCAAAGCAGAGGACAAGGAACTGCTGTAAATCGAAAGATGCCGCATATTTGTTGAGAAATTCAGTAGCACGCCGTTGGTAGTCATCTTGACAACAAACACTTGTTGATTTGCCGAATGCTTTCGTTTGGTATGCCAACAATTGCAGTATATCCTCAGATTTGAAGTTTTGTAAGCCCAGAAGCATCAATGAGGTTAATGCTTCGAATTCAGAAGTATCAACCTGCATATTTTCGGAATTCTCGCCCTCACCATCGCCATCATTATCAGCTATGTCCGCTTGCGACAACTGTGATAGCTTGATAAAATCGATGGCTTGTTGGCAATTATTTGGGGAGATTAGCTTTATATTTTCTTTGATGGCATCCAGACATTCGTCATTGCCCAGAGCCATAGAACGGTTAAAGAGCTCATCAAACCAAGCCTTCTTAATATGTTGTGGCATAATTTGGTCTAAGTTTCGTAAGATTTCCCCTAATGTTGCACTTTCGATGGTCTCTTCAAGGGTCTTCGGCTTGATAGCGAGAAACTTTAACTGCGCTTCTACATCATGTCCAAGTTCTGGATTGCAACGCATTCGCTCACCAACTTTATATATCATTTCACCAATTGCCAACTGTAATGTCAAGGTAGGCGTGACGTCTACTTCTACCCAATACATGAAAACATCAATTTTGACCAACATAACATTATATTGTACCGAATTAAGTAGCGCTTTTATGATCTTCAATTGTTGTTCCTTAAGTACAGTTGATGGCTTTGTTATTTCTGAATCAGGCGCACGTGGGCATATTTCCTGGCAAATTTGATAAATTTCTATATCAATTTTCGGGTTTGCCGTTTCCGGCAACTCAAGCAAATCAAAGGCAAATAATGTCATTTGAAGTAAATGCTTCAAAGCGAAACCCGAGTAACGAAAGAATTGCAACTTGGTGAACTGTTTAAATTTTTCACAATCAGGCGTGTAGAATTGACGCAGCAAATTCATGCTATAGTCGTATAATTTGCCATAGATAATTTTTTTGTCCACCATATCAATCTTGCGAGATTCTGATAGCGCTATGCTTAGAAACAGCGCACGCATAAGTTGCTCTACTTTTTCCAATACTTCATAAGGATCTCCGATGTATTTCATTGTATCGGCTGCAGTTTCGAAATACTGGAAAGCAAACCAGCAAGGGGTATACGACAGTGCTTCATAGAAAAATTGGTCTAACTGCAACTCCCAAATAAGTGTTACTAATAAGAATTTAGGTAACAGAGGACATTGTTCTAATACGTGTGCAAAAGTTGGATCCTCGCGCAAATTGTATTTGTAAGTAGCATCAGTGTTAGCAAATAAGAACATAACTACTTTACGCAATTTTTGATGGGCTTTAGGTAAAGGTTTTTTAACCTCGGGATCAATTAAATCGCGATCGACCAATACTTGCTGCAGCCGTCGCACAAGCTCATTGATAAAAATGTCATTACCTGAGAAATGTTAAGAAAATTTACGTTAAATGATTGATGAACCAATGCTATTAATCTTACCGCCACGAAACTGCACTTTACTGAACGGCTTCACATGTTTATTGCAATACAACAACACCGACTTGATTTCGTCAAATTCCTCGCAATAGTCCATCGCGAATTCTTCCTCAAACAATTTTAGGGTTTTATGCAAGTCACGCATTTGTACTAAAATTAGTTTTTCATAGAAGATTTTTTATCAATTTTGGGTGAGATTGTTTACTTGTTTTATAAAACACGCCGACAAAGTTGGGATTTCGAAAAAACATCAGTGCATCAAAAATATCGATGTTGTGCTTCCATGCATCGAACAATTTACACTCGAGACATGCAACGATGTTTTCTGTAAACTGACATCTCTAGTTAATCGAAACGCCAATCCAAAGATCGTAAATCTATTTACCATCTTTGGTACTATTTGCTTGCGTCTGATACGTTCTTTGCTTGAACTGACAATCAGTGTTGCCAGAACTTTTTGGGCCAACCGGCTAAATTGGCAAAAAAAACCGGCTAAACTGTTTCACCTAAATTTCACATGATTTATTTTTAATAAATCATAAGTAGAAATACTAGTTCTTGGAGATAAGTGGCAAATTCAAGCTGGAAATGATTTTACCAGCAAGTATTTGTAATTAGAAAAAACATATGATTGTGGCACATGGTTGAATTTTTTGTCGACGATTATTTGAATAAACAGGTTCATCAAATATAATAATTTAAAAACTTGAGCGATTTTAAAATGAAAAATTTAAGTAAATACTTGCAATGATTTGAAACGTACTCCGAATGCAATCTCAACCGGAGTCGATATAGGAAACCCGACAGTTACTACGACAAACAAATTGGAACGTATGTTGAAGAACTTAGAGGATTTTTTTTTTGCCCTTCTGAAAGAATTTTAAAAATTCTATACAAATTTCTTATGTTTGAAATGCAACCGTGGACACTAGCGTTCGTGCAGAAATTTGCAAGTTTCTCTACTTGAGTGTAAATTTGGGAGCATGTTAACGCGTGTTAAGCAAACAGTGAAACAATTTGTTATTTTCTAAGTTTGCGAATAAAACTTCACACTTAAATTTAAGTCATTCATAATAAACATTTATTGAAAAAATCCCCGCTAAAAAATAAGCGAAATCGGCCCAATTTTTTATAACCATGCCTGTCATGAAAATTTTATTCCCGATAAGGCTAGTAGCCATTTCCAACAGATTTTGGATCGCTTATTCAAAAATGAAAACATATATATTTGAATTTTAAGAAAGCAAGGTAAATAGAAAAAATCGGCTAGAAACGGCTAATGTTTTTTACAAAACGGCTAACAAATCGGCTTCCGGCTAAATTGAAATTTCTCCGGCTGTTTTCTATCGCAACCGGCTAAATCTAGCCGGAAAATAAAATGGCAACACTGCTGACAATATCGATTATCTACTTGCTCTTGTAATAATTTTTGATCACCCCTAATTGCTAAAGTTTGTCAGCACTGGAAATCAGCTGTTAACACCCCAAAAGGTGTGTAAACAAATAATACAAAAAACTCTATCCCCGTATTCATTTATTTTTCATTACGCTGTGCTGTCAGGATAGGAACTTTACTTGTGCAAAAGTGAAAAAATTTTAGTTCAAGGAGGAGCGAAAATGCCACAAATTCTTACTTTATATTAAATTTAAGTAAAGGCGAAATACACAATTGAAATTTTTTAAGAGATGACCGAAGTTTTGGATTTGAATCCTTTAAACTGTGAAGCTCTAGCAACGCCGCGGCTATCCAAAGCGGAGCACCTCATTCAGCAACTAAATGCGGCGAATGCCAAAAAAGTGGCACTTCTTATGGTCCTTGGGTTTGTGGCATACCATGGTATATTGCATTGGCAATATGGTAAGAAATATATGTTTCCCATCGAATTTAATAAAAGCTTCAGTAAAATGCATGGTTTATGACATTCCTCAGGCAGTGATTCCTGTAAATGGCTGCTATCAAAGGGTCGTTTCAAAGGTGATAACGAATGGCAACCGTACGGATGTATGATGCATAAATATACTGAAACGTAAGTACGCATCATATACGCTGTAAGGCGTAGTTATACACGCATACACAATCAAATTTATACATACATATGTATGTATGCTCAAAAATACATGTACATATATAGAGATATATGGGAGATCTTCATCCGATCTTATCATATTAATCGTTTGTTATTATTACATATGTTGCTCATTTAGAGATACACGACGTTGCCTGCGCTATTTGGCTTTTTGGGGAAATCGCAACTATTTCGTATTTATTGGCGATGAAAGTGTGCGCGCGCTTTACCAAAGTTTCATAAACCATTTACGACCCAGTAGCGATGATAATATTTCTTCTCCCTTCTTGGCGGTGTCACAAGCTGGCGAATTCGAAGAAGGCCAGCTGAATATGCATGCCCGTTATATCTACGCTAATGAAGCGGACGAAGCTCTGTTGAATGTCATAAGCAAATTTGAAGAAGCAAAAGAACTACCGGTGCTGTTTATTTTTGGGTTCACTTATCGTAATTTTCTCGATGGCAATGTAACAGATGAGATTGTAAAACAATACACAAGAAATCTTATGCGACTGGTAGTACCCTTTGATCAGTTAGTCGCCCACAAAGCAAAAGTATTGTGGAAATTGCAGGATCGTATAAATGAAGACATAGTGACGCAAACTCCCTGGAAAGAGGTACTAAATGATGATATTGATCTTTTAAATCAAGCTGCAAAGACCGTGTTCCGCTACTCAGAGGCCACGGTATGGAATGCAGCATGGCAAATAGCAAATGGTCTGGTTGATAGTGCTGTTGACGGTTACAAATTGAGTGAGTTAGGACTACGACACGAGGTGCAGATTTTAATCAATATGTACTGTAACGACTATATGAATTACAATGATGGCACTTGTTGTGCTAGCGCGGAACCTTATACAAATTTGCAGATTGTTTCTTACTCGGTATTAGGCGTCTGGTAAGAGTAATTGAAAAAAAAAATGTGTTTCATTATTGTATTGATTTAATTTTATAGCGTTATCTTAGTCATCGCAATGTTGCTTCGCCGTTGGCTGATGCATCTGCGCGGTCATACTTTTTATACGCCGCTGTCCCAACCAACAACCTATCAGGATATACATACTGCCAATGCCGCTGTTGCTGGTGGCTTGTCGAGTGGTAAATCGTCACTCGCATTGCCCATAATGGATTTCTTTACACCACTCGCCATGCTTGCCGTTATTATGGGGTACTTCTATCTATGCGATCGTACCAATTTCTTCATGAAGGAAAACAAATATTACTCTGAATTCAGTTTTTGGATACCAGTGGGCTATGTTTTCGCGCTGGGCATATTTTTTACCGAAGAATCACGATTTACGAAAGTACTGAATCGCGATCAAACGGATGAACTGAAAGGTTGGATTATGCTTGTTGTGCTTATTTATTACATGACGGGTGCACATCGTGTGCTTCCCATACATATGCACATTAAGCTGCTGATTAGCAGCTATCTATTCATCAATGGATATTCCCAATTTACGTACATGTGGCAGACAGGTGGTAATTCTGCTTTTGTGCGCTTCTTTCAAGTAATGTTCCGCCTGAATTTCATCACAGTAATTTTGTGTTTTTGTATGAATCGCCCCTATCAGTTCTATTATTTCGTGCCGTTGCTGTCCTTCTGGATGTGCGTCATATATTTCGTCCTATCACTGCCGCCGCGTATCAGTGCACAATCAGTGGAATCAAATCCATTACATTATTTATATTTGGTTGCCAAATTTGTGGGCTGTTTCAGCGTCATAACCATACTCTTCATGTCGGAAGTGTTTTTCGAGCGCATTTTCTTGACTCGCCCGTGGAAGGCGCTATTCGTAAGCACCGACGATGACATACACGAATGGTGGTACCAATGGAAATTGGATCGTTACACAGTTACTTTTGGCATGATTTTCGCCGCTTGCTTTCACATCGCACAAAAACATAGCATATTTGATGACAACAATCATGGCAATCTCTTTGCTCGACGAACTTCCATTACTGTTACATTGCTTGCATTGCTTAGTGTTTGTTTATACACGACATTTTCCTTTCTCTGCCGCAACGAACAGGAATGCGAGGAGATACACTCTTATATCGTTTTCATACCGATTGTGGGCTACATTGTGTTACGCAACATATCCGGCATACTACGTACGCGTTACTCTACTTTTTTCGCATGGTTTGGCCGCATATCATTGGAATTGTTTATTTGTCAGTATCATATTTGGCTAGCGGCTGATCGTCATGGAGTGCTGGTGCTTTTACCCGGCTTTCCAACGCTCAATATGATTATCACTTCGTTCATATTCGTATGTGCATCACACGAAGTGCATCGTATAACGCAAACACTGCTGCCATATGCAGTGCCCAGTGACTGGAAGCTGGTCATGCGCAACTTCGTGATATTTTTGATTATATTGATACCGGTGGGACACGCCGATGGCATGTTTTAAACATTATCGACAAAAGTGTACCAAAGCATATTTAAATTATAAAAACAACAACATAAAGGATATAAAGATGAACAATTGAAAATTGGAAATTAGTACATATGCTTATGTATTCTCTAAATTATCAAGCAACGTGTGAAGCATTGACCCCACGGGTCGTTAAGTCAAGCATAAACTTAGTATTGGTTTATTAGTTAGTTAAGCACAAAAGACGTACAACTGTTAATATTTAAAGGGAGTAAATATGTGTAAAATTCACATACATGTACACACACTTATGAATACGCACGCGTCAAGCTTAATGCTATGTAAGAAGAACATATATTTTATATGCTAGTTTATTTTTGTAAGCTAAGTTTAAGTGAAACTTAATTTTTCGGCTATATAGATTATTGAATTTTTATTACTGAGTTAAGGTATATAGCTGCTTTTCCGAGTAAGTTAAATATATATGAAACATTCATCCGTACCCAAACAAAAAAGAAAACACAATTGAAACTGTTCATTATGTAAAGCAGTACTTATGCACATGAAAAAGCAATCGAACAGCTAACATGAATTATTGATTATAAATAATAAATAAATAGAAACAAATTTTTGTTTACTTGATACTTTTGGTATATTTATTTAAAAAACCCGTAATTGAAAGATGGTGTTTTGTAAAAGTTCAAATATAAAATCCCAGGTAAATCAGATATTTAAGTTGCAAAAACAAATTTACCTATTACGTTTTCTAGACATCAGAAAATACTCTTAATAATACATATCGTCGTTTAAAGTACACAACCGCGTATCAAGATAATGCAAAACCGCGTATGGGAGGTTGCATAAATTATTTTCTAGAGAGTAAAAACTTTCATATTTCAAAATGGTTCCCTGCTTTATAAAGCAATCGCATTTCTGGCTAGTATATTTTAGGACGGCCGCTGTGGTGTAGTGGTAAGCAGTGCGCGCTTCCACTCCGCAGCACCTGGGTTCAAACCCTGGTCAAAGCAACATCGCAAAAAATATAGAAAAAAGGTTTTTTCTTAACAGCGATCGTCCCTCGGCAGGCAATGGCAAATCTCCGAGTGTATTTCTGCCATGAAAAACAGCTTCTCATAAAAATACAATCGCCGTTCGGAGTCGGCGTAAAACTGTAGGTCCCTCCGCTTTGTGTGACAACATCAAGGCGCACGCCACAAATCGGAGGAGAAGCTCGGCCAAACACTAACATATGTGTAAGCGCCAATCTATTATTATTATTATCATATTTTAGGACGAATGGATAAGGATTAGGCCAGATGTGTGAGCAAATCCAATTTTTGGCAGCCAATGTCAGTTATGCCGTTTTGCAGAATGGCGATACGCGGTTTTGTACTTTAAACGACGATTACCTTAATATAGAAAGGCCCTATCTAAAATTCTTGTTTCTTTACGGAGTGATGAAAAAATTCCAAACACAATCAAGTCCTTTGATGCGAATTTCTTTTCAAGGCTGTTGTTATTTAAGAAGGTGACTAATTTTATACTGTAGTAGATACTTTTAAAATCCAGTAGTGAGTTATGGGCAGACATTTGTACAATAGTGGATTTAAAAAGAAAACGAGTTAGGGCTTTTATATATTAAGGTAACATATATACATACTAGGGATGTTAATTTTTCCGCTTTTTCCGATCCCGGGATTTTCGGGACGCCGTTATCACAATCCCGGGATCCCGGGATTAGTCCCGAGATTTAGATATTCATTACTTTTCAGCAAATTAAATCGAAAAAATTGCTTCTATATTGTTTGAGAAGCTCTCCTACCATAAAATAAATAAATGGGTTTGAAATCTACTTTTTATTTAAAGTGGCGTTTTTATTTTTGCTCTCTGACGTCAAGATTTATTTTAAAGGACTTTGTAATTTCAAAGATATGATTAATTCCAAAAATTATTTAAAAAATTCAATCGAATGTAGAATAAAAATATGGGTACCAAATGCAAGAGGAAATTCCTTTAGAATTGAAAAAAATTACCAATTTTTGGATTCACATTGACGAATAGGTATTTTTTTAAGCTGATAAAGTTAGAAGGACGAAATTCGAGGATGTTATCGAGTTTATATAAGCCCTTAACATATAATTTTTTCAAAAAGAAATATTGCGAAATTTCAAGGATTACAATTTAAAAGGAAATTTTAATTACTTACCAGTCCTTCTGCACAAAAGACTTGAATCTGATTAAATTCTACAGGATCTCTTCTTTAATTTTATACCCATACGTCTTCTCTATGAACATTTCTCTGAATTTTTCAAATCATTTTTGTATTACTGACGTCAGAGTGAAAAACTAAAAACGCAATTTTCTATATTTGGCCCATTTGATACTTGTGTTTAAATAATCCTCCTCTGCCATGCCGTAGCGGACCAACTCGTGTCTCTGCACCAGCTTATTGTTACCCGATCACTCGTATTTTAACGAAATGTGATTTAAGTTGAAAATTTGAAAGCACATTTGTATTTGTTATTTGTTAGCTTCCACCGGGTTCGTGTTCGAATGCCGAAGATTTGAAGACAAAGTTATTTGCTAACTACCAGAAGATCCTCCTGGCTCGAATCTCGTCAGAGGCATGATGTTAAAACCAGAATAAAATTTTTGTTTTGTGTATCCGAACAATGAAAAAGCATCAGAAAGGTGCAGAACAAAAGCGTGTACAAACGAAAAAATATATCAACAATGACATTATTAATATACATATTGGAGTAGTTTTGTGCTACAGTGATGTAGTGCAGAGCTGGCCCTTCCCTAGGACATTGTGGATCATTTTGAGTACTCCTTGCCCCTTGTTAATTTAAAATAAAAATATAGTTCACACTACACCGAAATCAATAAAACTCAAAGTTTCCAACTTTGTAACAATTAAAAAAAATCGTAAAATTTTCATCAAAACTTCACACTTTTTATTCAGAATTTTAGTATATAAATTGCAAGTTTGAAGTGGCTACAAAATACCGTTGATTTTTGGAAATTTTTTGGTTGTCCATTTTCTTTCATATCGCGAACGATCGCAGGTTATTTCAAATGAAAGGAAGGGGCAGCACCGTAAACAAAAAAAAAAAATTACAAAAATTAGAAAAAATTACATCTTAAAAATTCTGAATAAAAAGTGTGAAAGCTTTATGAAAATTTTTTTTTTTAATTGCTAGAAAGTTAGAAACTTTGAGTTTTTTAGAAATTTTTATGTAGTGTGAACTATACTTTTATTAAAAATTAATAAAATTTAAATTAAATAAAATATTAAAGAAGTAATTTTTACAAAAAAAA